GGTTAATCCCCGAGGAGCTGGGTGATCTTAATGCAGAACTATCCGAGTTGCATGGGTAGTGGGAGCGCACACAGCGGCCGTGGAAGCGGTTGGAGAGCAAGCAGCAGTGGTGGGAGCGCTTCGGCACTGGGAGCGGCAGCAGCAATGGGAGTGCTCGGCAGTCCCAGCAATAGAGCCAGCAGCAGCAATGGGAGCGCTTGGCAGTCCCAGCGATAGCGCCAGCCTTGTCAGCGACACGCCCTATGAGAAATTCATCAGAAGACGTAATCATGTTCTGAGGGATATTTGAGTTCCTTTGTTTTTAACTTGGTCCCATTTGTTGGATGGATTCACTGATTAAGCACAAGCCCTTTTTTTTCCTTTTTCCCTCGTCCATATTCTCGTTTATTTCTGCCTACTGTACTTTTCCGATTTTCCTCCTGTTATTTTTCTGTTCCATACTCTCCAAGCCACGAATTTTCCTAGCAAATATTTCCCCCGTTGTCGCCTGTCGCCCTTACTCCAAATACCATGTTCGTACAAATACCATGTTCGTAAACCGTCCTTCGATCTGACTCCCTTCTCTGACTTTTTTGTCTACATTCACATCCAACCTCCTTCCCGACACAGGCGATTCTGGTCCGATCCTTTTCTCCGACCCCCTCCCTCGCCTCGTTGCCTACATTCATTCAACCCATTTCTTCTCCCTATCAGGCCCTACCTACCCTCCAGTCTCTCATCACTGTACCGACCGCAATCCTGTCTCGGCACAGCGCCCTACCCATCCCCTCTCGTCTCTTCCATATCCACACCTCGAGACACGTCACCCACTCTAACCCCAACACCCGCTACTTCATCCCCTCCTTGAATTCACCCGTTCATTTAGTCCCAACTTAGCGCCTTGATCATCCTCCCCCACCTCCCAGTCTGGCGTTACTTGACCTACACTTCTTCCAGCGGCATTTACTCCGCGTTATTCCCAATCTGGTTTCATTTTTCTTTTATGATTTGGTTGTTTCTTTTTTCCTTCCTTATTTTTTAATATCGGCATTTATTCTGGCTTGCAACTCACACCAATTTCCTGCTCCTGTTGAATAAGGAAGTTTTCTCTGCATATAGTTGCACTCTACTCATTTGTGGGGTGCCGCATATATAACTAGAGTGATTGTGTTACGCATCTAGCTGTAATTGTAGGCTAGGTCCACCCTCCTGTTAGTTTCCAGCCGTCGTCTGAGCAGGTTCATTCTATAGTAACTCGGTATTCCAAAAGATGATGAAGGCTGAGCTCTGTGGCTCGATGCAAGAAAATGAGAGATTTTATTTGAGCGCATGACGCCTGGACTGCAAATGATCAGCAGATGCCCTTGCTGATTCTAGTGTGCCTGTCAGCACACGGCTATGTTGCCAAGGTGGGGGTGGGAGTTCAGTTTAATTTTGTACAGTCATTCTGGGAATGTTGAGGGACGCAGTTTTAGAGTGACTCAGGGGGAAACTCTTGGAACTACTAGCAGCGGTGCCACCTTGAGCAGTGAGAGCGCAACAAGGGGCGCTGGGAACGCAACTGGTCAGGTGGTAAGTGAGAATCGGTGAAGAGCAAACTTGAGTTGTTCCCATTGTGATCAATACACTATGAAGATCCAAGGGAGCGTGGTGGGAAACCCGTCATGGCAGCTCAGGCTCTTTACAGTGTGTTTTGGAAAGTCAGAATGAGATAGTCGCCCTGATGGAGAAGAGGGGATCTTGTTCTGGCGTATGACTTTGTCTCTGTTCCCAGGGCTTTAACAGTAGATCTGGTCTTGTGGAGTGTGTGTTGGTCTTGGAATTTTCTTTTTTCTGTGTGCTGATAAAACTTTCGCAAAACACATTCTTTGGCATCCACTCATATGATAACACGACTGACTGTAGTTAGCAGCACTGTGGAGGCAGTGTGAGTGCTACCATCAGTGGTGGGAACGCTACTTGCTTGATGTTAGGAAAAGTAGGGTAGGAAGCAAACTTGAACTGTATCCATGGTGATCTTGGTTCATTGAATGGTTTTGTCATATTGAAGATCTAAGGGTGCATGGTGGGAAACCCGTCTAGGCAGTTCAGGCTTCCTTGAGTTTACAGCTCTGTTTAGGTTTTGGTTAAGGTTGGCCAAAATGAGTCTCCCCTCGGGATGCTGGACCCGGTTTCCAGCAACACACCGGGTAGAATTGTGAGGAACCCGGCCTTGAGTAAGACTTTATTTCATAATACACTGTTTTCCGTATTAAAAAAATAATAATAATAAAACACCAACAACGGCTCGCTGCTCGGTTGGTACACCCATGTACTGTTGAAATAATACAAACCCTGAGTTCAAATCCCGATGCAATGACAATTTTGAATTAACTCGGGGGGGGGGGGGGCAGCTCACTGATGATGTGTCAAGGCCGTCGCCCTTTCACGATTACAAACCCAACAACAACAAAAAAAAAAAAAAAAAAAAAAAAAACTGCACATTCAAAAACCATCGAACAACTGCCCAATCATCTCGGCATCAATACCGATCTCGGGTGAGATCAAACAGCTTCCAACACCGAATCAATCAATGGGCCTCGCTCCACTACTCTCCACATTCACAAAACACAAAAAATATGGCGGTTTATCTTTCCATGTTCTAGCGAAGCATTCATTTTAATTTTGCACATTTGGAGAGTTGTGGAGCCAGGTCCAATGACACACAAAACTATTTCACCCTCTAAACCAAACCAAACCAAACGCCGACAAATTAGGGTTTGCTATAAGAACCAAGCAAGTGCCATACGAACCAAATATAAATTAGGTCACAAGCACGAATGCATGTATTGACGGCGCTTATGGAATAGCAATATCCTGCAACCTCCATATGAATACCAGGCACGAAATGGTGCTAATTAGGTCAAACGCATGGATCATGAATACAATGCATGTATTCCAGGCTACCCCCTCCCATTCTTTCCCCACCACGAAGCAAACAGAAGAACATCCGAGAATGACAGAAGGCTTTTCCACTGTTTGAGGGCGCTTTACTCTGTTCATCTGATGGCATCTGGATTCGAACTTTGGTCTGTGTTTTTTAAACAGTTCATGGGTATACTAACTCAGCTAAGGCCCATTGGTTGAGGGCGCTTATGGAATAAAAGTAAAAAAATGAAAACAAAAGAGAGACTGCTTACTCCTGATGAAACCGAACGATGCGAACCCGTTTTCTTGTACGTCGCATTTAGTGACGTTGACGCCAAGCAAAAAAGAAGGAACATTTTCTTCACACGTGAAAGAGGGCACTTGCTTTCCAGCAGTCTTGGTGCATTTTGTATTCCCGGTCAGGCTTCTTCTTGCCAGACATATTTCCTTACAACAAGAAGATTACCTGTTGCGGCTCCGCCCGCCAAAGCGAAGGAACATTTTTTTTGCACATGAAAGAAGAGAGAGCTCAACAGGAGGTTCAACCACGGCAGTCTGTCCAGGATGCATTCGACTGACTGATAGATAAGGACTCACCACGTCACACCGCTGCTAACGATACTTCTGAAAAAAGTGGTTCACTTCACACACACCAACCCTCTGTGTGTGTGTGTGTGTGTGTGTAGGTCTCGGTTCAGTGGGCCGAGACGATGTGATTGAAACTCGCTCGGGGGTCGTTGTAGGAAGGTGCCATCGGTTATAAGAGTGCAATTGTTGTTAAGCAGGTCCTGTCACGTATGAATGGTGGGAATATCCAACATTCAATCTGCTTGGCATTTGCTGTGCGCTACGAAACATTCGAGCATTCAGCCCTATTGCAGGGCGGCGTGCAGCTTGAAGCATTTCCTGGAAGGTATAAGGCAAAGACGAAAGCACACGGCACGTTTCCGAATCATCCCGTGTACAGCGAGGCAATCTCTCTCTCTCTCTCTCTCTCTCTCTCTCTCTCTCTCTCTCTCTCTCTCTCTCTCTCTCTCTCTCTCTCTCTCTCT